GCCAGCCGTGCTGGCTGGGGAATTCTGGGAGTTGAAGTCCATACATCTTAAAGTAGCCAAGGTTGAGAAACACTGCTCTGTTGTCTTAGTATTGGGAGACGGAGATTGATCCTAAACCTGCTACACCCCAGTGGCTTTTTAAAACAGACAGCTTTTCATTTTATCTGTTGTGTCATTGATGTTCCTATCTAATAGCCAACAGAAAAAGGAGTTTGGTTGTAGCAAGGCAACGGCAAAGTGTTTTTGTGGTTACGGGTTGAGCATCCATTAACCCCTCTGCTTTCCTGACCACTTTTCCCTGCTAACACTAATGACCTTCTCCAGGATAGTATATGCTTGCAGCATAGATTCAGCCATCAACAGACACATGGAGATCAGCCACATTTATACACCATTCAAAACAGACAATAAAAAAGCGAAGAAGGAAACAGAAAGACCAGAACACATCCTCTCCAGCAGCCAATCCCAAGATAAGCAGGGATTAACACCAGACAAACAATCAAGCAGAAAACAATACCCTAATGAAGGAATTACCAAGGAGAAAACCACACCCCCACCAACTCTGGCAGAACATGCTACTGTATATAAACAGGGAGCAAGCCCCACACTCACTAGCACCGATGATGTTACCTAGTCTGGTAATGAAATGTCTACAAGGAAACAACCAAGCTCAGAGAGCACCAAGGACTCCCTAGATTCCTTTGTGTTGCAAGAAAAATGTAATTTCTTTTATAATGTCTTCACAATCTCCCCACAAAGGGTAAGAATATATGGCTTCTGAATGAGATGGTAGAGTGGAGACCTATGTTTAAAATGACCTGTTCTGAGCACTCTTTTAATATTCTTCATGAGACCAAAAAGTGCTTTCATTTTCTGAGATTAAAAAAAAAGTAAAAAGAAGATGCTATAACCCAAACTAGTTTCAATGCTTACTGGATTTTATTCGCTTAAATCTGAAATCAAAATGATTAGCTGCCCTCGGCTCTTCAAACGTTCAGAAATTTCAGCCGGAATAGGCAGAAACTCTTGTTTTAAGGGAATATGTCATTAACTTGATTTAATGCTTGCAAAAAATGGGAACAGATTTTGTTTGTTGCGTTCAAAGTCGGCTACAGCGAGGTCGGATAAATCTAGAGTTTACTATAATTTATCCCAGTTTGTTCACTCTGCTCTGACTTTTCATTCATTTCCAGTGTAACTAAAGGTGCTGGTTAACTCGGTGAAAATCATATGCATTTTGAGAAAAAAATATTTCCTAGCATGCACTTAACACCTTGCATTTCTCAATTGAGCAATTTTTTTTCATTCCATTCCCATCAAAAGTACAGACGGTTTACAAACAGAACAAACTCTTCTGTGCAATAGCAGCCAGGAAGCCTAGCTCCCCTAGGCAACAGCTTATCTCCATCTTTAGTAGGTTCTAGGTGAATTCAAACCATTGTTTATTTAACTGATGCATCTTGAACTTTTCTTCATCGTACAGTTGGTTGGCTCTGTTTTAGAGTCTGCTCAGTTTATTCTTAGATTCGTCTAAACTCGAGATCCTAAGACAGAGCAAAATCATTTAGACTGGATTTTCAACTTCCTGAGACAGAAGAGGAAACCCTTCACCCATTATATTTCAGTTCTGGGCTTGAAGAAGCTCCAAGTCATTGGTGAGTTTTAGGACAATGCAGGAACATCAGCGCACCCAATATAACCCCAAAGAAAACTCAGCAGGTTTCTAGAAAACATCATGGTGGGCAGGGGCATGAGTCGATGGACTGTTTTTGAATTGCTACTCTTCCCAAGCTTTGCAGTCTTCGTACTTCTTCCATCAACCTTGAGGCTGCCCTTGGATAGTGTCAATAAAAAGGAAAAAAGTACTTAAAAACTGGGACAGCTACGGAAGAGTTAACCTGAAGTCTTAGCTTGCCTCATTCCTGGGCTGAGGAGGAGATGAAGGCAATGTTATTAGGACCCAACAGAAAAAAGAGGTTGCAAGGATGTCTTTGTGCTACTCTTGGGTGCTCTGGGGGCAAGATCCATGGTTGAGCCCTTTTTCCCTAGTCTCCTCCTTAACAAATATGGGGGCTTATTTTATTTATTCACATTGCTAGTCCACCACCAGTTCTGAAGCCTCTTTAGAGCAGAACATCTGGAGATGCCATGGATTGTTTTCTGATCATCCTGTTCTGCAGATATAGATAAAAAAAAACAAAACAGGAGTGCATCCCGGCATGAAAAATTCAAACTTCACCCGCTTGGAAGGATCTGAGGGGGCAGCAACTGATCAGGAGAAGAGCCTCAGAGTACAGAACTTGATGAAAATGCCAAGCCAGCATGCACTACTCTGAGAACGCCAAGGCTGTGCTTGGCGGTGGGGCCCAGGAGGACAGCCTGCTCTGCCGTTGCCCCTGCCCTCTGGAATATTCTCCCCCAGAGGTGCAGCGGGCCCCTACCCTCCCGGCTTTCCGGAGAGGACAAAAGACTTGGCTCTGCCAGCTTGCATGGGGCAATAAGAGTTTTAATCAACCCTGGGGGTGGCTGGCGCCCTGATGATGCTCCCCAAGCCTAATACTTGCCAATTAGCATCAATTCTTGGAATATATGTATTATTTATTTAGGACTGCTTTCATATTGTATTTTTAATAAATATTATCTTCTTGGTAAACTGCCCAGAGTCGCTTTGTAATAAGATGGGCAGTGACAAATTTGATGTATAAATATACATAAATAGATAAATTTAGGAAGGGAACTGAAAGTAGAACTAGCAATGCAATAATGCCTTTTTACTAATTGGTGGTAAATAAGAAAGGTGTTGTTGTTTTTTTAGGTGCCTTTGAGTCAGTGTTGACTCCTGGTCACTGCCTGGACACATTTCTGCAGTTTTCTTGGCAAGATTTCAGAAGTGATTTACCCTCGTTTTCTTTTTCTTCCTAGGGCTGAGAGAGATGGACTGGCCCAAGGTCACCCAGCTGGCTTCAGGCCCATGGCAGGACTAGAATTCATGGTCTCGGTTTCTAGCCTGGTGCCTTTACCATGACACCGGACGGGCTCTCTAAGAAAGATGTTACAGAGCTAGAAAAGTTGCCAACAAAGTCAGCCAAAGAGATTACAGGGTTGATGCAGTTCCCACATGAAAACGGTGCTGCTGGCAATTGTGGACACAGTAGACAATGTGGAAGATTTTAAAAGGGGATTGAATAGGTTCATGGAGAATCAAGTGATCAGGGACTAACTCATAGTTATGACCTTCTGAATCTTAGGCAACATAACTTCAGTACATGGTGGCAAGGGACAGTGAAAGGGTCTATCATCCTCTAGCCCAGTGCTTCTCAACCTTGACAACTTTAAGATGTGTGGACTTCAATTCCCAGAATTCGGGGAGTTGAAGTCCACATGTCTTAACGTTGCCAAGGTTGAGAAACACTGATCTAGTCTAACCCATTATATTTCCACCTCAAATTTTGAAAACCAGTGTCACTGTATTCAGGAATTACAAATACTTCCTTTCCTTCTGTTGATGAAGATTCTCAGTCATCCAGGTGGAATTGTCTGGAGGTTGAGTCATGGCAACTGGACTTGTCTGGAGCACACATCCTCCCCCCAACCTATCTGTACAAGTGAACCGTCCGGGTTCATCAAAAACAGGGCTGTCTCATTACAAACTGGACCCCAAAATGAGAAAGGGACGGATACGTATAAAAATGAAAATAAATCAGCTGTCAAAAGATAATGGCTTGAAGACCTCTGCATGGACTTCTCTAAAAGGTTAAATTTCTAGCTTCCATACGAATTGGATCCCATTCTGCTGAAAAAGAAAAAAAGTTCGAGCTGTTTGTGGTTTGCTACGCTATCTGGAAGAAGGACAATATTCTGTTTTTTGAAATCATGTTCCAGATAGGAACCAAAAGTGTTATTCCTGCAGAAATATAGAGCCACTAATATTTCTGCAGCTCCTGGATAGGTCTGCCAGTTTGAATAAGCAATCTGTTTATATACACCCTACTTATGATATCACTTACAATGCAACATTTAGGATGTTTATGACCCCCAGAGCTGAAAGACAGAGGACCAGTTTTATTTCATATAAACAGTGGGGAAAAAATAAAATAAAATAAGAACTCCTCTGCCCATTCCAGGTCACACACACACCTTCCAATTCTATTTTCATGCTATTTATTCATTGAGCAATTTTGTTATTATTCACCAGGAGGCAGAAGAAGATCAAGATTAATAATATAACACTTCTTAAGTTCAACCCCTTTTCTTCTATTCCTTTCTGGTAACATACATTAGGCATTGGAGCAAAGAAAAATTACCTGAAAATAACTTAAAGCAATGCAAACACACCAGGAATGCTGAAATGCATAGAGAATAATGTACAATCAAACTCCTTTCAAAGTTAAATGCAATGCAGCCGCCGCCGTACATTTCTTCTGGAACACGGAGCAAAAAAGTTTACAAGAGGTGTGAATAGGCCCAACATGGCTAGGAATCCTGGGTTTTACTTTAAGCAGCTCTGCATTCCAACATCTTCCTGAAACTTTTCTGAAAACTGTCATCTAGGAAGGCATACAAGAAAGGATTCAAGCAAGAATTGGCATAGCTCAGGCTGGTGATGAAGTAGGAAATGCCAATGACCACAGGGGTCTGCGGCAAGTCTGTGGTCAAAGCCACAATGGTGGCCAGGTGGAACGGTGTCCAGCAGAAGAGGCACACAGCTAGAACAATGAAGACCATAATGGTAACTTTTTTTTTAGCTTTGTCCAGAGCTTTGGCATTTGAGTTCAAACTCATGTTCCTCAATTTGTACAACATCATGGTGTAAAGGACGCAAATAGTGGAGACTGGAATCGCGAAGGCCAGTATGAGAGTGTAGATCCTACTGGCTTTGAACCAGAATCTTTCTGGTCTGGGGAAATTGAGCCCGCAGCTTGTGATGTTCAAGTCATCTTTGTAGACGTTGGCAAAGACAAAGAAAGGAGACACAATAAGAGTGACTAGGATCCAAACACCGAAGCTGATGATACGGGCTGCCCGGTAGGTACGGTGAGGCATTCTCTTGGACCGGACAGTAGAGAGGACCACCAAGTATCTATCAATGCTCATCACAGTGAGGAAATAAATGCTGGAGAAAATATTGTAATGGTCAATGGACAGGATGATTTTGCAGAGAATCTCCCCAAAGGGCCAGTAGTGCAAGAGATGTTCTGCAATGTTGATGGGCAAGACCAGCGTGAAGAGGTCATCTGCAATGGCTAAGTTCAGGATGAACATGTTGGTGACCGTCTTCATTTTGGGAGCTTTCAGGATCACGTAAATGACAGCTGTATTCCCTGTTAGCCCCACAGCACAGATCACGGAGTAGATCACCGGGAGGACCACGTAGAAATCTGGGGACTGTTCATGGGACGTGAAGTTGACACGGGTACCATTTTCAATGCAGCAGGCATGTCCAGGTCCGACGCTGGTGTTCCCAAACTCTCTACTCTCAGAGGCATTTGCCATGTCTGAGCATTCAGCGGGCAGGTGGTCCTTCAAATTATATGACCAGTGGGGAAAGGCTCAGTCATTTTCCAGAAAGAGATATAAAGTCCTTGTGAAACTTCTTGGTTCAGTTCGAGTTAAAAAAAACACAACACGTGAGATGATTGGAACAAAACAGGACAAGACATTAAAGGAAAAACAACGGTCAGGGTTACAAATGCTGCATTTCTTGGACCGCAATATGATGATCTAGCTGACCGATTCAAACAGCTTTCCTGGCTTGGAAGGAAAGTTGATTCACTCCTTGGACCATGCCGGTCTCCTCCATCCCCCCTTTTCTGCACCAGAAATAGAAATGTAAGCAGCCGCCCCTTTTCACTTCTTTCCGTACAGTCACAGCATCTGCCCCCCTCCCCGCGTCCCACATGCAAACAACAGAGAGCGAGCCAGTTTTTATTTCAGCCAAGACTTCAATCTCTCCTGGGGGACCCAGCCATTTCCTAAAACCCTGCAGAAAAAGAGAGGGAAGAGAAAAGACAGAATCAGACAAGCTTCTTACC